ATGGGGGTACGGTCTCTTCGATATGACGTGTAAAATATCTTGCTTGGCTGCTAACCATTTACAGTATCTGGCTTCTCTACAAGCATGTGACAGTAATAAAATTGATAGTAGCATTAGTACTAATAGCATACCATCCATACGCGCTAACGAAATCATCATAGAGAACGTGTCCGACGTCGTAGGCATGTTTCCCTTCTTCACTAACGACGATTATTTTGGAGACTCGCAGATCAAGAACAAAGAAACGATGTTGCATCACATCGCGGACGATAACCCGAATGCGGCGGTGAAGAACCCACTGAAAGAAAAGACACCCGAGAGCATTTACAAATTATTCGCCTCGAATAACGACGACGACACGATTAGTGACGACGAGCGCAGGTTCATCTCCGATGCCCACTGTCAGTTCGTCACCGTGTGGAACGAAAAAACGTACGATAGACATGTAGAGGAGAACACGTTATCGGATAACGATCCCGCTGTAAAGGAAAGGTCGCATCAAAGACATCGCCGTCTGTTCAATTTCGACGTCGAGGGTAACACAGCGGAGAAAATCGACAATGAGCCGTGGAGGAAGCGGTACGATGCTGTCATGAGAGTTAGATACAATTGGGGGTGCGATATAGTAAAGAATCTAAAAAATATCTTCAAGGGTCAAGAGGGAATATTAAACACCAGCTTTGATGAGCCGAGCAATATCGTAATATATAGAACTTCTACGAGTATAGTCCCTTATCGATACGGTGACCTCCCTATGGACGTGGTGCCATATCGCCACGAAGACACGGGTCACATAACCGACGACTATACTTTAGAAAGCATAGACGGTATTAATACATGGTCAAGAAGGGATTACCTTAACGCGTTTATCAATACAGTACAATATATCCTGCGTGCAAGGTTGAAAAATATAACAATGTTCGATAAGTTCGAAAACCGAGCGTTAGGACAAATGGACAACATTATGAAGAATCTAAGAAACACCGAAGATAAACACCGGTTCGACACACTCGCGAATACAACGCGAAACGTCTTTAATACGATACGCTCACACTTGAAGGCCGATAGTGGTAACCACTCTACGACTCTCAAGTTGGACGATAATACCATAGATGAAATATTTCGTGCTTTTATTAGAGATATTCGTCTCGTAGAGGAGGATGAACGCAGTGCAATACACGAAGCTTCGAAAACCTGCGATTCAACGGCGGTGCGTTTATCGTCAATAGAAGAGCGATCTGATCCAACACCGATGGACGAAATATCGCCGATAGACGAACCGTCAACGGCGCTCGATAAACATTCGACGGTTCATCACCAGCAGTCGTTGCAACAGCAGCATCAAAACAGTACGACAAAAGAAAATGCCTTCGATAACGAAATGGAATCAATAAATAAGATAGTGAATTATATTAACACACAAGATCGCCTAACGGACGATACAATGAGAGAGATGCACGAAGCGGTAAACGTTGCGAGAGTAAAACACGAAGAGCTTAATATGGAGATACAGACAATAAGAGAAGAACAACAACGTTTCGTAACCGATGTGAAAGACAAATACGAGAGGGAATACAACGAGACGGTACACGATATCGACACACACATACGCGATTATACGACAGAACAGCACGCGAGCCAACTACGCGATAGACTGAATACAATACAGAACCTTTATCCGAGAAACATCTCGACCAACAATCCATATGCAGATATAAACCAAGAAGTTAAAGCAATAACCTCGTTACGAGACAGACTCGAAGACGTAATTCAAATTATAGATACTGAAAAAATAAACATAAAATCGTTATCTAATCAACTGATTCAAGAACACAAAAGGCGAGTAGCACCCGAATACAAGGATCTTGAACATCACATGAACAACGGTAACGACCCATATGGCGATACACTCAAGAAAATCGCACACCGCATACATCAAATAAACACGGCGATAGCGGAGGCAGACAGCCACAAGACGAGTGTTGCGGATGCGGTAGAACTAGTGTCTAACATAAACGACAGCATAAGAAGAGAAAAACAATGCGATATAGCAGATCTGAGATCAAAGACCTCGACGGTCAAGAAGAAGAAACGTGAGGTAGAGCGCACCGTGACATCAATAGACCTAAAACTTATCGAAGCAAAAAAAAATTCAGAGGCGGTGGAAGAATTGGTGCAGAGCGTCATTATAGAGATGTCTAGTTTGAGATCGCGTCTAGAAACAGCACGAGCGATCACTGAGAGCGTATTCACGAACGGTAGGAAAGAAGAGATAAACAGAGTAAAGACAAAGATCGAAACAAAATACGGTGAGGCGATAGAACTGTATAACGAGGCAATAAAAAAGTTGGAGATATTGGATACAAAAATAACGGATTTGGAACAAGCGTCATCGTCGAGAGTAATAAATACGAGACCAGAAGGGGTTGTGGAAGAATCCCACCACCCAAACCACTCTCATCAACAAGACCGACCTATCCTAGAAGAGCGACACATAACACAACAGCAACATCAACCACAACAACGTCCAGAATATCATGATCACTTTCATCAGCAGCAACAACCCACCCTAAATTTACGAGAAGAACGCCAACCACACACGTATTACAACAGCAACAACATCAACCTCAACACTGTCCAGATCGCCACCGTCACCGACAGCAACAACATCAACCTCAACCTATCTCTAATAAAGACTTGCAACAACAACAGCAATATACACAACAACATACACAACAGCAGCATGTGCCAGAACACACACACCGGCAACAACAATGTGTAAAACATCAGCAGCACCTACAGCCCCAGTACCATCTGGCAGAAGAGACGGTACTACTACCACCATCGTCGAAAGAAACAAAACCGATAGGAGAAGAGGCCGCGGAGACAGAAACGGTTGCAGAGGAAAAAAATGAAGGACGGTCACAGCAACAGGGAGAAACATTAGACATGGGGAGGAATCTAGAGCAACATACACAACAGCAGCATGTGCCAGAACACACACACCGGCAACAACAATGTGTAAAACATCAGCAGCACCTACAGCCCCAGTACCATCTGGCAGAAGAGACGGTACTACTACCACCATCGTCGAAAGAAACAAAACCGATAGGAGAAGAGGCCGCGGAGACAGAAACGGTTGCAGAGGAAAAAAATGAAGGACGGTCACAGCAACAGGGAGAAACATTAGACATGGGGAGGATTCTAAATTTGTGCAGTGATATCCAGAAAACGTACACGAGCATGGAAGAAATCGATAAAGAAAAAATAGAGACATACGTATCGAATCTAAATCTCAAACTCAGTAGAGAAATAACCGACCTCGATAAAGAGCTAAAAGAAACGAGTGATCCGACTACCGTCCTGAGGCTATACAGGACATATAGTAACATGACAGGCGAATTCGACCGAAACCATAAATCTCTAGACGCGCTATTGTACGAGCCTAAGAAATATCGAGAGATCCAAGGGAGAGCAAATGACAACGACATGTCTAAAAAATTAATAGACGAGATGCATTCCAGACACATAGAGCGTTGCAATGCTGCGAGAGCTAAAACTATAAAGATCGTGGAAGACGTCATCGCCGAACATAACAATCAGATTAACGACAGGTGTGAGAATCGCTTACGCGAAGTAGGCGATAGCAGTAAAGATCCCACGAAACCGCCAGCTCGAGATACACTGGCATTTTATGCAGACGTTACTAGAATGTACGACGAAAGGAAGGAAGACCTCAAAAACATAAAAGCGAAATATATATCCGATCTGAACACTACACTCGATGCTAATATATCCTACCTCGACGAACGGTTAAAAACCGCGAACGACACGACTACTGTCCTGGGGCTACACGCAGAATACGGTAAGAGGACAGACGAATACGATCTAGGCTATAAATCGCTAGACGTCCTGTTGTACGAGAACAGCGCGTATAAAGAAATCCAAAGGAGAGTGAGTAACAACGAAACAAAGACGGGACTATTAGATCAAACACAACTGGCTCACGTAAAGCACTGTGACGCTGTGAGAGCCGAAATTATAAAAATTAGGAACGACACCATTGCCAAACATAAGGTAACGATAGATCGCAAATGTAGTGATCGCTTACGCGAAATGAATAGTAGCGATACGTATAGCTCTTCTAGTGGAGGAGAACCCATGGAACATGAATCGTCAAATAACCATGCAAGTGGAGGAGAAGCAATGGAACAAGAATCGTCAAATCGACCAGTGTTGTTGGCCGACACCGGCGGCAGCAACAATAACAACAACAATAATAGCACGACCGATCCTCAGACAGTATTAGATTTTGCTAGCATGATGACAAATACTATAATCAATAATAGCAATCAAGAGATTCCCGACGAGTCAAATGTCAACGTGATACTGTACGAAAATTCTCCCTCCCACCACGTCAAAGAATTTGCGAAGTACGCTCCGAAAGATACAAAGCGACACGATCACCTCACCGTAGAGAGCGTTTCGGAGTATGTAGAGCTCCTGTATCGCAAGAAAAAAATAAAATACCTGCATCCCTTACATTTTACTACCCTGTTTTCCGATTCGAATGCGATCTATTCTTCTCTAGTGCAAGTGTCACCTATGCGAGAAAGAGAAGCTAACGAAGCGGTGTGCAAGCTCAAAACTTCTCTGATATCAGACCAAGGCGAATCTTCGTCAATATTAAACGACGAAGCGATCGTAGACGAAGTCGCTGTAAATCTCTATCGCGCATTGAGAAGATGCTCTCTCGATGCTCTCTTTGCGGATCCCGGCGCGTATTCGATAATCGGGAGCGTGTTGGTCGAGCGAAACGTGGACGCCGACATTAGAAGCGACAGAAACTCGTCTCCTAAACTCTTGAATTCGCTAATAGCCAACTGCATATACTACGATACGGATACGGTATCGACGATCGCCGCCATAATAAACGACATCTGCACAACGATTCAAACTACTCTCAGCTACCAGTAGGAATTTGTCGACGCATTCTATCATCACGGATAGGAAGGGGAGCTGGTAGCATATTCTGCGTGTCCTCCATATCGAGGTCGACGGAGCTCTTAACGCAAGACTGCCGAATACCAATTCGAGTATGCGAATTACCATCGTCACCGTATCTCGTCCCATGGGCGTACCGCCAGTACCGGCGGAGTGGAGGTATCGACAGCACAGTTTCTCGACTGCCGTTATCGAGCCTATCGCGATGATGTCGAAAATATCTCTGACTTTAGAGTAGTTTTGAATCGTTGTGCAGATGTCGTTTATTATGGCGGCGATCGTCGATACCGTATCCGTATCGTAGTATATGCAGTTGGCTATTAGCGAATTCAAGAGTTTAGGAGACGAGTTTCTGTCGCTTCTAATGTCGGCGTCCACGTTTCGCTCGACCAACACGCTCCCGATTATCGAATACGCGCCGGGATCCGCAAAGAGAGCATCGAGAGAGCATCTTCTCAATGCGCGATAGAGATTTACAGCGACTTCGTCTACGATCGCTTCGTCGTTTAATATTGACGAAGATTCGCCTTGGTCTGATATCAGAGAAGTTTTGAGCTTGCACACCGCTTCGTTAGCTTCTCTTTCTCGCATAGGTGACACTTGCACTAGAGAAGAATAGATCGCATTCGAATCGGAAAACAGGGTAGTAAAATGTAAGGGATGCAGGTATTTTATTTTTTTCTTGCGATACAGGAGCTCTACATACTCCGAAACGCTCTCTACGGTGAGGTGATCGTGTCGCTTTGTATCTTTCGGAGCGTACTTCGCAAATTCTTTGACGTGGTGGGAGGGAGAATTTTCGTACAGTATCACGTTGACATTTGACTCGTCGGGAATCTCTTGATTGCTATTATTGATTATAGTATTTGTCATCATGCTAGCAAAATCTAATACTGTCTGAGGATCGGTCGTGCTATTATTGTTGTTGTTATTGTTGCTGCCGCCGGTGTCGGCCAACAACACTGGTCGATTTGACGATTCTTGTTCCATTGCTTCTCCTCCACTTGCATGGTTATTTGACGATTCATGTTCCATGGGTTCTCCTCCACTAGAAGAGCTATACGTATCGCTACTATTCATTTCGCGTAAGCGATCACTACATTTGCGATCTATCGTTACCTTATGTTTGGCAATGGTGTCGTTCCTAATTTTTATAATTTCGGCTCTCACAGCGTCACAGTGCTTTACGTGAGCCAGTTGTGTTTGATCTAATAGTCCCGTCTTTGTTTCGTTGTTACTCACTCTCCTTTGGATTTCTTTATACGCGCTGTTCTCGTACAACAGGACGTCTAGCGATTTATAGCCTAGATCGTATTCGTCTGTCCTCTTACCGTATTCTGCGTGTAGCCCCAGGACAGTAGTCGTGTCGTTCGCGGTTTTTAACCGTTCGTCGAGGTAGGATATATTAGCATCGAGTGTAGTGTTCAGATCGGATATATATTTCGCTTTTATGTTTTTGAGGTCTTCCTTCCTTTCGTCGTACATTCTAGTAACGTCTGCATAAAATGCCAGTGTATCTCGAGCTGGCGGTTTCGTGGGATCTTTACTGCTATCGCCTACTTCGCGTAAGCGATTCTCACACCTGTCGTTAATCTGATTGTTATGTTCGGCGATGACGTCTTCCACGATCTTTATAGTTTTAGCTCTCGCAGCATTGCAACGCTCTATGTGTCTGGAATGCATCTCGTCTATTAATTTTTTAGACATGTCGTTGTCATTTGCTCTCCCTTGGATCTCTCGATATTTCTTAGGCTCGTACAATAGCGCGTCTAGAGATTTATGGTTTCGGTCGAATTCGCCTGTCATGTTACTATATGTCCTGTATAGCCTCAGGACGGTAGTCGGATCACTCGTTTCTTTTAGCTCTTTATCGAGGTCGGTTATTTCTCTACTGAGTTTGAGATTTAGATTCGATACGTATGTCTCTATTTTTTCTTTATCGATTTCTTCCATGCTCGTGTACGTTTTCTGGATATCACTGCACAAATTTAGAATCCTCCCCATGTCTAATGTTTCTCCCTGTTGCTGTGACCGTCCTTCATTTTTTTCCTCTGCAACCGTTTCTGTCTCCGCGGCCTCTTCTCCTATCGGTTTTGTTTCTTTCGACGATGGTGGTAGTAGTACCGTCTCTTCTGCCAGATGGTACTGGGGCTGTAGGTGCTGCTGATGTTTTACACATTGTTGTTGCCGGTGTGTGTGTTCTGGCACATGCTGTTGTTGTGTATGTTGCTCTAGATTCCTCCCCATGTCTAATGTTTCTCCCTGTTGCTGTGACCGTCCTTCATTTTTTTCCTCTGCAACCGTTTCTGTCTCCGCGGCCTCTTCTCCTATCGGTTTTGTTTCTTTCGACGATGGTGGTAGTAGTACCGTCTCTTCTGCCAGATGGTACTGGGGCTGTAGGTGCTGCTGATGTTTTACACATTGTTGTTGCCGGTGTGTGTGTTCTGGCACATGCTGCTGTTGTGTATGTTGTTGTGTATATTGCTGTTGTTGTTGCAAGTCTTTATTAGAGATAGGTTGAGGTTGATGTTGTTGCTGTCGGTGACGGTGGCGATCTGGACAGTGTTGAGGTTGATGTTGTTGCTGTTGTAATACGTGTGGTTGGCGTTCTTCTCGTAAATTTAGGGTGGGTTGTTGCTGCTGATGAAAGTGATCATGATATTCTGGACGTTGTTGTGGTTGATGTTGCTGTTGTGTTATGTGTCGCTCTTCTAGGATAGGTCGGTCTTGTTGATGAGAGTGGTTTGGGTGGTGGGATTCTTCCACAACCCCTTCTGGTCTCGTATTTATTACTCTCGACGATGACGCTTGTTCCAAATCCGTTATTTTTGTATCCAATATCTCCAACTTTTTTATTGCCTCGTTATACAGTTCTATCGCCTCACCGTATTTTGTTTCGATCTTTGTCTTTACTCTGTTTATCTCTTCTTTCCTACCGTTCGTGAATACGCTCTCAGTGATCGCTCGTGCTGTTTCTAGACGCGATCTCAAACTAGACATCTCTATAATGACGCTCTGCACCAATTCTTCCACCGCCTCTGAATTTTTTTTTGCTTCGATAAGTTTTAGGTCTATTGATGTCACGGTGCGCTCTACCTCACGTTTCTTCTTCTTGACCGTCGAGGTCTTTGATCTCAGATCTGCTATATCGCATTGTTTTTCTCTTCTTATGCTGTCGTTTATGTTAGACACTAGTTCTACCGCATCCGCAACACTCGTCTTGTGGCTGTCTGCCTCCGCTATCGCCGTGTTTATTTGATGTATGCGGTGTGCGATTTTCTTGAGTGTATCGCCATATGGGTCGTTACCGTTGTTCATGTGATGTTCAAGATCCTTGTATTCGGGTGCTACTCGCCTTTTGTGTTCTTGAATCAGTTGATTAGATAACGATTTTATGTTTATTTTTTCAGTATCTATAATTTGAATTACGTCTTCGAGTCTGTCTCGTAACGAGGTTATTGCTTTAACTTCTTGGTTTATATCTGCATATGGATTGTTGGTCGAGATGTTTCTCGGATAAAGGTTCTGTATTGTATTCAGTCTATCGCGTAGTTGGCTCGCGTGCTGTTCTGTCGTATAATCGCGTATGTGTGTGTCGATATCGTGTACCGTCTCGTTGTATTCCCTCTCGTATTTGTCTTTCACATCGGTTACGAAACGTTGTTGTTCTTCTCTTATTGTCTGTATCTCCATATTAAGCTCTTCGTGTTTTACTCTCGCAACGTTTACCGCTTCGTGCATCTCTCTCATTGTATCGTCCGTTAGGCGATCTTGTGTGTTAATATAATTCACTATCTTATTTATTGATTCCATTTCGTTATCGAAGGCATTTTCTTTTGTCGTACTGTTTTGATGCTGCTGTTGCAACGACTGCTGGTGATGAACCGTCGAATGTTTATCGAGCGCCGTTGACGGTTCGTCTATCGGCGATATTTCGTCCATCGGTGTTGGATCAGATCGCTCTTCTATTGACGATAAACGCACCGCCGTTGAATCGCAGGTTTTCGAAGCTTCGTGTATTGCACTGCGTTCATCCTCCTCTACGAGACGAATATCTCTAATAAAAGCACGAAATATTTCATCTATGGTATTATCGTCCAACTTGAGAGTCGTAGAGTGGTTACCACTATCGGCCTTCAAGTGTGAGCGTATCGTATTAAAGACGTTTCGCGTTGTATTCGCGAGTGTGTCGAACCGGTGTTTATCTTCGGTGTTTCTTAGATTCTTCATAATGTTGTCCATTTGTCCTAACGCTCGGTTTTCGAACTTATCGAACATTGTTATATTTTTCAACCTTGCACGCAGGATATATTGTACTGTATTGATAAACGCGTTAAGGTAATCCCTTCTTGACCATGTATTAATACCGTCTATGCTTTCTAAAGTATAGTCGTCGGTTATGTGACCCGTGTCTTCGTGGCGATATGGCACCACGTCCATAGGGAGGTCACCGTATCGATAAGGGACTATACTCGTAGAAGTTCTATATATTACGATATTGCTCGGCTCATCAAAGCTGGTGTTTAATATTCCCTCTTGACCCTTGAAGATATTTTTTAGATTCTTTACTATATCGCACCCCCAATTGTATCTAACTCTCATGACAGCATCGTACCGCTTCCTCCACGGCTCATTGTCGATTTTCTCCGCTGTGTTACCCTCGACGTCGAAATTGAACAGACGGCGATGTCTTTGATGCGACCTTTCCTTTACAGCGGGATCGTTATCCGATAACGTGTTCTCCTCTACATGTCTATCGTACGTTTTTTCGTTCCACACGGTGACGAACTGACAGTGGGCATCGGAGATGAACCTGCGCTCGTCGTCACTAATCGTGTCGTCGTCGTTATTCGAGGCGAATAATTTGTAAATGCTCTCGGGTGTCTTTTCTTTCAGTGGGTTCTTCACCGCCGCATTCGGGTTATCGTCCGCGATGTGATGCAACATCGTTTCTTTGTTCTTGATCTGCGAGTCTCCAAAATAATCGTCGTTAGTGAAGAAGGGAAACATGCCTACGACGTCGGACACGTTCTCTATGATGATTTCGTTAGCGCGTATGGATGGTATGCTATTAGTACTAATGCTACTATCAATTTTATTACTGTCACATGCTTGTAGAGAAGCCAGATACTGTAAATGGTTAGCAGCCAAGCAAGATATTTTACACGTCATATCGAAGAGACCGTACCCCCATCGATAATACGAGGAAAAGAGCTCTGAGGACGAATATATGACCAGTAACTCTCTTAGAGACGAGGCGTACAGAAAGACTGCAAAGGAAACAATCTTAAAGTTCGTCACACTCAGTTCTTCGTCGGTAGGCGCCGTCGCCGTTGCCGCCAAGACGTTTCGAAGGCAACACCACAACTCCAAGAAAAACGAATGCAAGTATAATCGGAACACGTCGAGCATGCTATATTCGTTGAGATGGGGTGTCGATAAAAGATTGGAGAAGGGAGGGGTTATAGGCGTTTCATCGAAGGGGAGATTCGTCAGCCAACGGAGAGATGATAATCGCACTACTGTGAGGTGGACAATCTTTCACGCGACGCCAATTAATGAACCGTCATCATACGTGCTAAGAATTCCTTTAATTCTGCTATCCCTGTTTACATTCGTTGTTGTACAGTCCCAATCTATTATTCGTTAGTTCTCGGGCCGCGAATCGCTCTTCGTTTATTCGGACGGAACGGCGGATAGCATAATAGCGGTATTAGTCTCCCACGAGAGGAGGCGCGCATACACTCGCAACAAAGGTTAAAGGCCACTCGATTGGAGTATTAAAGTATACGTGGTCGATCAAGAATGTCGCTGAATGCTGGTGGGTAATGAAAAGAGTTTACAGACGAGTGAATCTCGGATGATAGGGGTGTCGGAACTCGAACCCCTCGCGATAAAACTTAACACTTCTTGTGGAAGCCGTTCGCGCGCTATCGTGGGTCACCAACCTGGACAGATCTAGCGTTCGTGTTTTTCGCTTTTAGAAAGACGCACACGCCCGCGACCTCTGACGGGGGTGCGATACGCAGGTTCCTTTCAGCGTAGTTACTCGGAACGTCTCACGGATTTCCAAAAAGATGAGTGCAAATTTTCCGCGGCAACTGGAACGCCCACAGAACGATTTTTGAAGTAGCCACGGGATCGGCATTAGCTCGATAACGGGCAGATCGGAATAATATTCGAAAAAAGTTAATCTTACGAGAGGATCGAGATCAGTCAGCGGGATTAACCCCGTCGTATCGAGATAGTTTGTCGACCTATTTTTGTAACGGGAACCCTTCACAGACTCCGAAAAAAATGCTCGCCGATCTCGAGTCGGTCTCGACGTCCACGGCGTCGAAGGCGGAGATGGAAGACATGTCCCCGTTCTCCCTCTGGATGACCCGACATAGCAGCAGGGCCTGGCCGCACGTTAACGAAAGGTCCGGGAACCATTCAGCCTCCCCCCACGACGAGAGCGCACGCCCAAACCTCCCAAACACAGCCCATATTCTCCCATGCCCCCACACGAATCCCGGTTCATGTCGTAGCGATCCAAACCGAGACGGATTGGCCAAGATGGTCGATTTGAAGACGCATCCCGTTGTTTCGCTCGCCACGACCCCCCCCCAGCGTCTCGGCTCTATAAGATTGGGTCCCCTGGTTTCGATCTTGGACAACGGCGATGATTTCTGCAACCCGCGACTCGCCAAGATACGACGAGAGCACCTCAGATCGAGGATCGACAAACCTCAGGCTGGAGCTCAGAGATTAAACCTCGAGGCACTACGGAAGCGGATGTTCCACCACCCGACCGGCATCCACGACTAGTCCCCGCCCGCTAAAGATAGCAGACTGGAGCGACGTCTTTTCGAAACACATGCCACTGCAAGAGAATATCGATATTAGAGCTGATGTCTGCTATCTTCCGATGGCTGACGAATCTTCCCCTCTGATTGAAACGGCCTATAACCCCTCCTTCTCCAACTAACCACTAGACAACCCATCTCACCGACTAAGATGCTCGCCGTGTTCGCTTATCACCTGCCCATGTTTTTTTTTGGAGTTGCTGGTGCCAGACTGCAACACGCCTCTGCCCCGGACCCCGGGACGGCGCCTCCCGACGAAGAACCTGAGTGTCCGCACGAACTAAGATTGTTCCTTGAGTCTTTCGTACGCCTCTGTCTCCGCCCTCTACCGAGAAGATTAAATCAGCACGCCTGCACTACCGCACCTCTCACGTCCCTCACACAACAGAGCACTCGTTTCTGTCTTTCGATCCGGGGGGTACGGTCCCTCTTCGACTATGCCGTGTACCCCATCTCCTGCTTGCCCGGCTGTAACATTCCGTATTGGTTCTTAACACAGCATAGACCAGTCATTAAATTGCCATGTTAGCAACTAGTTCTCCAATAGCTTACATCCCATAACGAGCCTACGAAATTCCCATCTAGAGAACGTGCCGACGTCGTAGGCTGTGATCCCTTTTTCACTACCGCGGTTATTTGGAGACTC